TCCTTCTTTGCAAATTTTCCTTATTACATTATTATTTCTTTCTTTGAAGTATAGTCAGTTACAATGTGTCAATTTCTGGTGTACAGCATAATGTCCCAGTCATGCATATACATACATATATTCACTTTCATATGCTTTTTCATTAAAGGTTATTACAAGATACTGAATATAGTTCCCTGTGCGATACCAAAGAAATTTGTTTTTTAATCTATTTTTATGTGTAGTGCTGAAACATTATTTTATAACATGGTAAAATCAGAAGTTTTTCTTAAAACTTTTTCCAAGTTGCATTAAAACCCTATTTAAGAAAATACTCTTTTAAAATCACATTTTAAGAAAAGGCGAAGTTTTCTTGATAAAATTAAATTATTTGAGATTAATCAGTAAATATTAATTCAGAGACTAGTTTATTTCCATGTTTGGCATAATAACAAAGGGGTAATGGAAAGATCATTGTGTTTAGTTTGAAAATTTATCCATGGGGTGGCGGGAGGGAGGGATAAATTGGGAGTTTGGGATTCGCATATCCAAACTACTATGTACAGAACAGATAAACAACAAGGTCCTATTGTATAGCCCAGGAAACTGTATTGATGGTTTGTAGTAACCTGTAATGAAAAAGACTATGTATATATTTATATGTATGACTGAATCACTATGTTGTACACTAGAAACTAATACAATGTTGTAAATCAACTATACTTCAATTTAAAAAATGGGGAAAAGAAAATTCAGCAAACTTCATGTTGCTGTATTATAGCAAGCTAGTGTGTCTTAGCTCAAACTGTTTCCTGGCATATTGATAGGGACTGGAGGGATTAATAGAGATAACAAGACAACAATTCACAATGAAGAAAAGGTGGGAAAACAGGCATACAAATAAGGTAGTTTACTAATGCATTTGTACCGAAATTGATGGAGAAATGGCGTATTTGCTGAAATACAGAGGTAACCTCACGTTTGGTTAAAGGCAGACAATGAGTCTTACATTGAATCACTTTCCTCATTTAGGTATTCATTGCAGGGTGACTGACTGCATTTTTTGTATGGTGTTTATCCTGCACAAAGTTGTTTCTATATTAGAATGAGAAATAGTCTCAAGTCAGTTTGATTCTGTTATAGAGGACTTATGCTCAGGATGGCAGTGTTAATCCTCAGAGCTGCCAGTGTAGAGACAAAAGGATTTAGAGATGGAAGCAGTGGTGTAAGTACTTCTGGACCTGGCTTTTTTCCTGTGTTGCCACAGAGCCCTGAATGAGAAGTTGCTCCTTTAAAGGCTTCTGTCTTGCAGTTGAACATGTATTGAAGGTTTCTAATTTACACTTATGCTTTTGGATAAAATGGATTAGAAAGATTGGGTTGCTACAAGCTTAAGAGAAACAACAGAGGTTCCTTGATTCTGAGGAACTCCATTTCTGTTGAAAGAAGTTTCAGTGTGAAATGACTGGAGTAAAGAAAAAAAGAGAATGAACATCCACTCAGAGACTACCTACCAGATGCCAGGTACTTTGGTGGATGCTTTCTATCCATTGTCTTTTTCAAGTTTTATCTTTTCATGAGGAAATAGAGGCTCAGAGAAGTTGTGACTTGCCCAAAGGTCACACAGGAGTGAGTGAGAGGATGGGTTCTTTCTGACTCTTAAACCCACTAGACTGCTAGACTCATTTCTTGGTGGTTAGGTGGCTGACATCCCAGGAGTTTATTTTAAGAGTAGGGTTCTTATGGGTCTGACTCTTCACTCTCTCCCACATTGTCTTGGAATACAGGATTTAAGGTGCTACCTGTGGAACTGAGAACGCAGGATTTTAGGTACTAATTGTGGAACTGAGTGTGCCAGCACGTTTTTCTTGACCTTTTGGGTTGCTAGCCCCTTGCCTAGTACTCATTTCAAAATTGTAGCTGCTCTTGGGAGCTTGGTATAGCATGAAGCTGTGTTGGTTTTCTTCTCTCCTATACCATATTTCAACACCAGTAGATAGTGCCCAGGGTGGAATCTCCTTAACAGATTTCTCAGCCATTTTATAGTGATTTCTCTGGTCTCTTTCTCCTCATGGCCTTGGTGAAGAAACTTGTTTCTGTTGATTTAAACTGATTGTGGGAGAAGTATGTAATTACAGTAAGCTTTGACTCTGCTGAAACAAATCTTGCCCGTGTGTAACAAGCTGGTTAAGGGGTTGAGGAGAGTTGTAAATGGTAATGTTAGTTTTTCTGTACATTAGTTCAGACCTTTTCCCAAAGGAAGACGAAGCTGTTTGAACTGTGACCACTCCTTAGCTGCCAGGTGTTAACAACTTGTGGTTACTCTGAAGCCTAGATAGATTCAAACCATTGACTTTAAGCTGAATTATTTTGTAAGCTGTGACTCACTTTTTGGCTCATTCTTCACCAGGAAATACACTGAATATTAATTTCAGGAATGTCAATTACCCCTTCTGAAGAGTGTGTTGCTCATTAAAATTTCTGGGATTTGTTTTCCTGGTAACAAACAGAACCCCAAGTTGGCCCATACTTTAGTGGTTGCGCCAAGTCCTTGTGTAAATGAAGGGGAGATCTGACTCACTGTTGGGAGAAAGGCTGTTGAAGATGAGACCATCCTTTCTGGCTTCTGTAAGAGGTTCATCTCTTTCACCAGAGGAATGGGGTGCAAGAGGGTGAATTTGAGGCTGAACATAGCAGGTGTTATGTGTGTATTTATGTCTGTAAATATCACATCACTGTTTATAGTACACTGGACTCTCTTCATGCAAGGCCTAGTCAGGCCAAATTAGGAGGAATTGTTCCCGTGCTTAAAGCCAAGAATAACATCCTGACCAGCAGGGGACAGAGGTCAGCTCAAGGCAGCAGCTCTTGGAAGCTTCAGGACGTTACGAACCTTGAAGGCACAGAGATTAATAAGAAGGCAGCTAATATAGATGTACTTTGAAGGAAGTGTGAAACCTGTATGTCTCTTACTGGGGCGTGGCTTATTTATGCAAAATGACAGATCATCTTAACAGTTGGATATGTGATGAGTTCATATCACCTTCTGATCATTTAACTGAATATTCCCTTCCTGTCTGCATATTGATGTCTTTTTACTCTTTTCATTAGAAAAAGGGAAAAAGTATGTTTTATTTTGGTGTTTTATTCTACAAGCAGTTTCAGAGGAGCCCAAGAGAGGGCTGGCTTTAAAAGATGATATGTTAATTAAAAAACAAATAGCCTTTAGAAAACCTCCTGGAAGCCTTCCGGACTGAAGTTTTGTTTCCAGGGTCTTTCTGTGCCGGCTTCTCTTCTTTTCCCTTCCGTCTTTTCTCATTCTAATGCTGGCCACTCACCCCGCAGAGGCCACTCGAACTGGTTTCTGGTGGAGCGTTCCGAGTTCATCCTGTTGTCTTCTCGGGGGCTCACTTCTCCGGTCTGACTTCAGCTGGTTCTGGGCCAAAGTGATCGTCTGAAAGCTTTTCTTCATAGCTTTTATTTCTGGGCTCTTTTAATTTATGCATCTTGACTGATTAGTTTTGCTGGTTTTCTCCTTTTCCAGTTGCTGTGAGGTATGTTGCCTCAGGTGGAGGGTTCCAAAGCTCAGGTGCAGCCTCAGGCCTCTTAGATTTTACTCTGGTTTATAAAGTGCTTTTCTCCTTTCCTAGAAATTGAGGAAGCAGGTGCTCTGTTAGGAGGTATTGCTGACTCTCTTGGGGCTCTAGTTTGCTAGTTGTTTAAACATGTATGTAGCAATTTAGATTGTGTTTGCAAGGTAGGACTTGTTGCCAAAACTCTGAAGTAGGTCATTACTGTTACCCTTTGTCCCCTGTCTTTCAATTGAAAAATTAGAGGTGGAAAGAGAGTTATCTTGTCCATGGTCGCATAGTAGGTTGGTCTTACACCTTTTGAAGCAAACCTCATTTTTGTGTTTTTTATACTTAGCACAGATATGTACAGATAGTTATTAAATACATAATAGTTTAATAAATACATCTTAACTGTGGGGTTGATTGGTTGATCAGTTAAATTTCAGAACTCTCATCAAGTTGATCACATTTTGGGCCAATATGTGAGAAAAGTTTCTAGTTAGAGGAGACCAAATAGCCAGGCAGAAAGTGTTTACTAATTTAGAACACATGCAGAAAACCCCCGATGTAAATCCTGTTCTAAAAAGAAGAAACAGGATAGTTTGGCTAGATCAGAGATTGGTGATAAATGTCAGGAGAAGTAGAATGAGAAAGGATAGAAGAACATGGGTTAATCAGGAGATAAGAACAGTTACGGAAACAGGCATCTTGCCAGCTTGGGATCAAACAGTGATAATGAAAATTTCCTACTCCTCCAAAGTAGGCTCTCTGCCCCCGCTGGCCTTCCCCAGACCGCTATCCAGAGGAGCTGGACCCTAGCATCAAGCTCTGGGGGGCTGCCACAGGAAGCACGAAGAGGTCTCGTGGGGTTGGGGTCAGTCAGTGCAAAGAGCAGTCGGCCTTCTGATTTGTTAAATTCTTCTTAATAGTTTTGCTGTACTCAAATAGTGTCTCTAATTCCAAAGCCAAAACCGTTTTCTGATTGTGCGCTACTGGCTTTTGGGACCAAAGCAGCAGCTGCGCTACACTGTGCATTATGCAATAACCCTTCACAGGCTCACCCCCCGTTTCGGGTTTTTTTTTTTTAAACCTTGAAAAACAACAACAACAAAAAATAAACTTTGGTGGGTTTTTTCTGCCCTTTGGAGCCAGTGGTTTGCCTCATTTGGGAGCCTTGATCTCCCCCCTCATTATTTCTTCATGCATCCCTGCAGCGCTAAGCCCTGCTGTCTGAACCTGGCTCTGGCTTCTGACCTCACTGGAGTTGTATGAATTTTAATGATTCTTGGTTTCATGTCTGTTCACAGCTTTTGTTTTTCCCTGCTCCCTGTAGTGAACTTTGGGTTCAGGCTTGCTTGGGGAAAGTTTTTTTTTTTTCTTGCTTGTTTTTTTGTTTCTGTAAATACATTCTTTACTTACTAATTACTCTTTATTTTCTTTGTCAAACAGGCCACGAAGCAGTTTCTTGAAGAGATTAACAAGTGGACAGTTCAGTACAACGTCTCCCCTCTCTCTTGGAACGTGGCCGTCAAGTTCCTGATGGCCCGGAAGTTTGATGTGCTCCGCGCCATAGAGTTGTTCCACTGCTACAGAGTACGTAGCTCGGGAATGGCCCTGACCTGTGACACCTGGGCTCTCTGTGTTGCTGTTCTCTCTGCCACGCTCTCTGTGTGGTAGTTCTCTGAGTGTTCTCCCCACTCCCATAAAGAAAGTAGAGCAATCATTTGCAGCAGCATGGATGGACTTGGAGTGCATTATGCTGACTGAAATAAGTCAGATAGAAAGACAAATACTGTGTGATACCACTTATGTGTGGAATCTAAAAAATACAGCAAACGAGTGAGTATAACAAAAAAGAAACAGACTCGCAGATACAGAGAATGAACTAGTGATGACCAGTGGGGGGAGGAAAGGAAGGAGGGGCAATATAGGGGAAGGAGGGATTATACGAAGTCATGTGTGGGAAACTTTTGAAAATTGTAAAGAACTATAGAACTTAAAAGAATCTTCATTCAATTAAAAAAAAAAAGTGGATCAATACCCAAGAGCCTTGGAGTCAAAATCCTTCTGAAGAGACAGAATCTCCCTAAATAAATTTTTGTAAAAAGAGAGGAAGAAGGGATAAGAAGCACTAGGATTAGTTTAAGATGAAAACTCATTTGCACCCATTTTGTGGGTCACCTTATTCAATATTCATTCCTTTATTCATTAGATATTTATTGTGTATCTACTATGTTCTAGGTGCAGAGATTACTATTTAGAAAGAGAGTAAACAACAATAATAAAAATGTTATGATAGGGCAGTACTGGGTTCTGTGGAAGCACATTTAGTTCGGAGGGTCAAGGAAGCTTTCCTGAAGGAAATGACTTCTAAATTAAGATCTGAAGAATGAATAGAAATCAGACAGGCATGGGAGTATCACAGAGAGGACAGGAAGTTTAGATGCCCAGGGTCAAGAGAGAAACTGAGGAGGGGAGGGTATAGCTTAGTAGTAGAGTGTGTGCTTAAAATGCACGAGGTCCTGGGTTAATGCTCAGTACCTACATTTTAATAAATAAATAAATAAACCTAATTACGTCCCCCAGAATAAAATAACTAAATTAAATAAATGAAGGTTTAATCACTAAAAATGAAAAAAAATAAATTTTTTTTTGAGAGAAGAATTGAGCTGAGTTGAAGTGTTGAGTGGGAGTGGGGGCGTGGCAAGAGACTGAGCAGCAGAGGTAAACAAGGCCAGATCAGAGAGGATCTGCTTTTTCTTAAGGGCAGAGAAATTCATTGAAGGTATAAACAGCTGAATGCCTTGATCATATTTTCATTCTGGAAAGATTTTTCTCGTTGCTTTAGAGGATGGATCGAAAGGACTATATTGGAGACAGACCAATTAGAAGGCGGTTATACTTACTAGGAGAGATGATTGTGGTGCCATTAAGCATGGTGTCAAGGGAAATAGAGAAAAAGTGGGCAGATTCTAGAAGTAAAATTGTTTGGACAGGGGTACTTAAACTGGTGTGTGAGGAAAAGGGAGTGGAGGGTTTCAGGTGTCTGACTTGGGTGGCAGAGTGGTAAATGGTGGTGGTATTCACTAATTTAGGAGACATGAATGGGTGCAGGTATGTGGAGAGAGTAGGTCATGAGTTCAGTTTTAGCCATGTTAAGGTTGAAGTGCCACTGAGATATCCAAATGGGCATGTCCTCTAAGCAGCTGGGATATGAGTCTAGGATTCAGAAAAGAAGCCTGGACTAGACAAACAATAAATACTGAAGAGGGTATGGAGAAAAGGGAACCCTCCTACACTGTTGGTGGGAATGTAATTTGATGCAGCCACTATGGAAAACAGTGTGCAGATTCCTTAAAAAACTAATAGAGTTACCATATGATCCAGCAATCCCATTCCTGGGTATACATCCAGAGGAAACTCTAATTCAGAAAGATACATGCATCCCAGTGTTCACAGCAGCACTATTTATAACAGCCAAGACATGGCAACCTAAGTGTCCATCCACAGATGATTGGATAAAGAAGTTGTAGAGTGTGTGTGTGTGTGTGTGTGTGTGTGTGTGTGTGTGTGTATTGGAATAGTACTCAGCCATAAAAACAAATGAAATAATGCCATTTGCAGCAACATGGATGGACCTAGAGATTATCATACTAAGTGAAGTAAGTCAGACAGAGAAAGATAAATATCATATGCTATCACTTATATGTGGAATCTAAAAAAAATGACACAAATGAACTTATTTGCAAAACAGAAACAGACTCACAGGCATAGAAAACAAACTTATGGTTACCAAAGGGGAAAGGAGGAAGGGATGAATTAGGAGTCTGGGATTAGCAGATATAAACTACTATATACAGAATAGGCAAACAACAATGTCCTACTATATAGCACAGGGAACTATATTCAATAGCTTGTAATAACCTATGATGAAAAAGAATATGAAAAGTGTGTGTGTGTGTGTATATATATATATATAACTGAATCACTATGCTGTGTACCAGAAACTAGCACAACATTGTAAATCATCTATACTTCAATTTAAAAAATATGAAAAAAAATGTCTGGACTGGAAGTAGAGATTTCACAGTGAGCAAAGTAGAACTGAATATTGGGGCCATGAAAGTGGGTGAGATCGTCCTAGGAGAGTGAGGAATAAAAAGATGTTAGGGCAGAACTTCACCTCAGACTCTGTGCTTTCTTTGGTCCTGTATTGTTTTTTAAAGTTGAATTTGAAACCTTCAGGTAGTGCGTGCACTCTCCTGTGATCTCGGCACTCATACTCACTTGCTGCCTTGCCTGTGAAGGCATTTGAATTTGACTTCAGGGATGAATTGAGGAAGAATATAAACATAGACCTGGGTTTTTTTTTTACTCACCAGGAGTGTTCTTAGCACTTAGCTCAATGCCTGGCACATAATAGTTGCTCTACAAATATTTACAGAATTAATGAGTCTGTGAGTGAAATGAGTAAGCAAATGAATGGAAAAAAGCCCACAAAAGAGACCTGAAAGCAGTAGTTGAAGAAATAGGAAAATCTAGAATGTTTTTTATCAAAGGAAAAAGAGCATATGAATGGTTGATCTTGTCATGTAAGAGGACTGAAAATGCCCACTTGGTCTTGGTCATTGGAGCAGGAATTCTTGGTGGTATAGTTAGACTGGGAGGAAATGAGAATGCAGTAGGAGTGTAAGGGAACTGAGGCTAAGCTTAAAGAATCTGGCCATGGAGATGAGTAAAATGAGGACCTAGTAGCTGTTGTTGGAGAGGATTTGAGGGAGGTATGGCTCCTATTTAAGGTAGGAGAGGCCTAAGCCTGTAGACTGTGTGAGGATGTCTGCTTCCAAACAGTTTTGGGTGCATTTAAAAAAAATTCTATTTTAACTTTTTTTTTTTTAAGTTGGGAGTGCTGGGAATTGAACCCAGGACCTTGTGGGTACTAGGCATGTGCTTTACCACTGAGCTGTACTCACCCACCCTGGATGCATGTATTTATATCAGTGCTGCTGCATGTATGAGAACTTGGACCTTGCCCTCAAATGATTGATGTATATTGGTTGGTCTTCAGGGTTAGGATTCTCACTGATTCAAAGGAAAGTATCCTACCTTAGGCCAGATAAGGTTGCATTAGATAAGAATCCTGGTAATACTCATTTGGTCTAGAGGGAGATTACAAAGGAGTTGATGATTTAGTAAGCTAACTTCTAAAGTCTCTTATCTCTCAGATTTGGTGGTTACATGAAGCTGTCATGGGTATACAGTATTTTCATATTAATTCATCTTGTTTGCTTTATATTTAGGAAACACGAAGGAAGGAAGGCATTGTGAAGCTGAAGCCTCATGAGGAACCTCTCCGTTCTGAGATCCTTAGTGGAAAATTCACCATCTTAGTGAGTCTTTATGAACCCTTCTTGTGGTGTCTCAGTATTTCCTTTTGTAGCTGTTTTACTCTTTGGACTCTGTTCCTGGATATCTCTTCTTGAATCTAGAGAGTCTCAACAGTGAAGAGCAGATGTGAAACAGCTGTGTAGTTTTGCATGAAATTATTCTGGTAATAATTGAAATAATTGAAAAATCAGTTACACAGTAGATTAGGAAAGTTTCTTCATTGGTCCATTAAGGTTAGTCAAGGCCTTCAGGATGAGTATACAGTGTCAGAGGCCCATCCTTCTTTATTTAATGCAAGCACTCTCTATTTAGAGACCACAGCTTTTCAGGTAAGTATCCAATGGTACTTCTAAGGCAGAGGGTGGAAACCATGGTCTTATACTATGGCTTTCTCCTGTTGCTTATTTCTTTGCTATCCTGCCTGGGGAATTAGTTAGGCAGCCAGTGTAGGCCATTGTTTAATTTCTCTGTAATTGAAGAGTTAAGAGAATGTAGTGTTTTCCTACCACAGGGATATAATCCAGGGGACACTAAGAATAAGGCATGGGGTGATATAAACTTTCTTCCTTTTCTGGAGGAATTGATGCAAGTCAGAGAAGTATTGTCAGCATTTATTCTCTTCATAGCAAACCTTTGTCCAGGATATAAGACGTCTTAGTGATTTTTGTGTGTGTGTGTGATTTTCTGTTTATTTTCTAAATGTTTCTTGCTTTTGTCTTTTTTTTTTTTTAAATGGAGGTACTGCATTCTAAGCATGTGCTCCACCACAGAGCTCTCCCTACCCTCCTAAGTGTTTCTTGTTTTATGTACTCTAGAATGTTCGGGACCCAACAGGCGCCTCCATCGCCCTCTTCACTGCCAGATTACATCATCCCCACAAGTCAGTCCAACATGTGGTCCTGCAGGCTCTGTTTTACTTACTAGACAGAGCTGTGGATAGGTGAGTATGGAAATTATCCTTTGGGTGTTCTACATCCAGATGGGACAGTGATAGTATCTGATTTGATTAAACTCAGCAGTGCATTCACCATGCTCCTTGGGTGTGCAGTGCTATGAATAGAAAACATTCCATGTCCTTAGGGACTTGGCATGTTTCTAGGATGATGGGTATTCTGTGTCTTCACCTGCTTGGTTCTATTTCAGGGTAACAGAAGCTGAGAAAGCCAATTAACTAGCAATTCTTAGTGTGTTGAGAATTATTTATTGAGAAAGAGTGAAGGGGAGATGACCTGTGCTAGTTCTTCCTGATCATTCTCCCCTGATGTTGATTTTCAAAACCTTCTGAGGCCTCACTTTTTTTGTCTGTAAAGTAGGAGAATGCTGAGGATTTTGAGAATCAACATTCAGGAGGATGGAGTCCAAAAATATAAAGATACGCAAAATCATTTTTACAAACAGGTACATAAGAAAAACAAAACAAAACAAAACAAAAAAACAGCTCAGGTCATTTCTCCCTCTCTTTCTAAGATACAGACAAAGAAACTGAAGTCCCGGGAAGTTATGTGGCTCTTTTACAGTTACCACGTATTGATCCAGCTAGGTCTAAGATCCTGGTTTTGTTGCTCTTGGTCAGAGCTATTTATGTCCTAATATGTTGTCTTTCTGTTATACTTTCTTTTTTCCCTGGTGCTTACCATTTGCAGTTTGTTATTGCTGTCAGTGTCATTGGCTGGTCTTCTGGGCTAATGAGTATATTGAGGACTGAGACCAGAGATAGAGAGAACTAGCTGTGCACAACTTTAGTCATACTTCTGGACTTTGAGAATGAGAAGAGTCAAAGCATTGAAGTGGGATTCTCTGCCAAGTTCACTTGTTACTGCCTTGTTAATGTTACTTTCAGATACTTACCGTCTGCTGTTGATGTTCAGTGGGAGCTATATCCCAACCACACACACATACACAGCACTGTTCTGTAAAAGAGAAGTTACTAAGGAGAAAGGACCAGTGGTCTCAGTGGCCTCAGACTGCCCAATCAGAAGTGTGGAATTTCTCAGTTCTTCTTTCCTGTGATTAGTCTTCAGGCATGATTTCCAGAATATAGTTTCTTTTGAAATGTTTCTTTTGCTCAGGGGAATGAATGGAAAGCTCCTTTACCAGAAAATTTAGTATTGGCCTCCCTCTTTGGGCAGCTTGGAGAGTTGGAGCTCTCATACAGGCATGGCAGTGGTCAAAGCTTGCTCTTTCCACTGTGAGTATTGGATCCCATAGGAGGACCACACAGGAAGCCATAATTAAAACTTTGTTTTCATGATGTACAGCCCTTTCTTAAAGAAATCTCAGTGACTCCTCATTATTCAGAGGGTGCATTTAAGATAAATAAATGTGAGCCATTTTTTTCCAAGCAAAGTATTCTCACTAGTGAGTAGAAATATTTGTTTCTTTTGTTACCTTGAACCAGGATGGAAGAGAAAGAAACCCTTCGTCTTCACTAACTCTTGCCCTTCTTTGAGGCCCAGCTTCTGTGACTGGCTCCCTCGCCGCTCCAGCCAGTCATAAAGTTCTTTTTACTCTGACTTTAATAGCAATTATTACTAATACCAGTCATTTTGTATTTAATTGTACATGGCCTGATGATGTCATTTATCTTATACTGTTGGGTTTTTTTAATCTCCCATTAGATTATATGTTCCATGAGGACAGGGAACCTTCTTTTAAACTTTATGTAATGGAAAACTCCCAAGTCTCCATAGTGGAGAGGAAATGGTATCATGAACTTCCACATACCTCACCTTCATCTTCTTCCTCTCACTGTGTAATAAACTTCTTGGTGTTAGCAGTGACATCCTAGCTTAGGAATCAAACTCAGTAGGGTAGAGAAGCAATTACTCTTAGTAGGGAATTAGCTATTATTAGAAACCTCATATTCTGTACCCAGAAAAGTGAAAATCCTATTGCATTTGTATTTATTTCATGTGCTTCAAAGGATGAGCAACTTGGGGTCTAGGATAGAGAACCTGCATCATTCTGCACCATAGCTTTTTATTAAATTCTGTTTCTCCTGGCACCGATTTCTCTTTGTTTCTGTCCCCTCCCATGGGCTGGAGCTGTGGGAAACACTGTAATTATTTGAATGTGGCCCTTGTTGAACTTGTGGAGAGACAGGGAGTGTCTAGATCTGGTGGTCTGCTGGATGCCTGATCAGCATCTTTGATCTTGGTAAATCAGCCTCTCTGGCGTTGTGAAGAAAGGAGTCAAGATTTAGCACTCACTGTAACATGTTAGGGTCATTGGAAATTAAGCCTGCTGGAGAAACTTGGGTCTACTTCAGAGATTTTTGAAATGCTGTTTCATGGGTGAGTGCTTCTGCCTTGTATTCTGTTGAAAGAACGAAGGTATGTAGGCTTTCAGGAGGTGATGCAAAAAAATAAATAAATAAATAAGGATACAAAATAACATTCAGACCCCTGATTTCAGGAATGTGTTTTGTGTCAAAAAGTTTTCTCAGTTGTAAATAGATGCGAAAACTGTTGCTATCATCTGTGAATAGTCCAGTGAAGTAATTTATTACTCATAACCGTTTGAGTGTGCAGATCAGAAGCAGGTAAGGGTGGGATTTAGTGGAAGACTGCAACTTTGAGAAGTCTTTAGGAATTAAGGAGATTGGACTGAGGAATACTTTGTGCATGTTCGTGTGTTCCCAACCTCAATCTGGGTATAGGCTCACCACCTCTTAATCTACTTTTTAAGCTGCCTTCCAAAGACCATGTGTAGGTTTCTTCTTTTCCTGCATTAAAGTCATAAGAGACAGGTACTCCACCATCGAGCTTAGAGTTTTACTGTACAGTTTTCTATGGGTCTAAAGTATTTTCTCAGTGATGGGCTTCTAGCCCAGTGAAGTACAATTCAGTGGCAATTTAGTATGTACCTATTTGCAAGGGCTGTGCTGAGGACAGTTGAAGATAATAAGGTGAACAAAATATGTTTTTGCCCTCTAGGAGAGAATCAGATGTTGGAGTACACACTATACAAAGTTGGAGTATGTTAAGAGCCACAAGAAAAATTCACAGAAAGATTTCTGGGCTTTCAAGGGGGTGAAGGATGGTAGTACATTTGGTACATTTGGTAACAGTTATCAGGAATGCCTTCCTGGAAGAGGAATCTTTTTTTTTTTTTTTTACATTTTTTATTGATTCATAATCATTTTACAGTGTTGTGTCAAATTCCAGTGTTCAGCACAATTTTTCAGTCATTCATGGACATATACACACTCATTGTCACAT